TTGACGACATCCATCAAAATCAAGATGAAAACCTTCTTTATAAAAGAAACAACATCTAATTAAGATAACATTCTACTTTCAATCATTGTTCATAGCTTCTTTGTAGTAGTGACGCTCAGGAGATAGAGAACCAACAACCAGCGGATTCGACTCAAGAGCCTTCATTTGCTGACCTGTTGGATGAGACATTACGATTGTCATAACCTTCAAGATGACGCAATCGAGATGAAGTTCTTTAAGAACAATATGTTCTTCTTTGAATAGATGGCAAAATACAACGCGTTTGATATCACAACCTTAGAAGGGACTCCCGATGTTTGGTGATTTTACTAGAGATAGGAACAACTCTTGATGGTATTCTAAATGTTCTATTCGAAGGAAGTTATAAAGGCCTCAACAATGATCAAATAATTGGGTGGTCTTCCCGCCTTTGTATGGGACACTATTGATAGTTGAGAGGCCCTATCAATCATCTTCGAAGAGAACAAAGATCAAAGTATGTGGCGAATACAATTTGTCACATCATAGATTTTTTCAACATATGATGACCGCTCCTCGTGGAACTCGTCCCTAGAAGGGAGGGTAATGTCACGGATATACTCATGTAAGCCAGTAATTACATATACAAATAGGTAGAAATAAATAAAAGTAGGTAAAAGTAAATTAATTCTATATTATTTAAAATAGAAGCTTCTTAGAAGCTTTATAGACGCTGTTTTGACTTCATAGGTGTCTTTAATTGAATTTTTGGACTAGAAACGTGGTCAACAAGTTAGCCATGTGCCACACATGTTGTTAGCTTGAAGACCAAGCTAATTATGTGGCCCACACGTAGAAAAACTTGTCTTGTAAGTCAAGGCATGTATCTTACAAAGTCAACACATATTGGAGGTCCTATAGAACGTCGCCACAAAGCCCCTAGTTAGATAGTATATATAGAGACAAGAGTGAAGCCTTCTTCACTCTTATTAACTCCTTTCTTACTTCTAGTCTAGTTTCAAGGGTCTCTACTTTTCTTGTCTTTTGGTAATAGCCAATCTACTTTCTCTTTCAATATATATACTTGCTTATTTATATTTTGTTATCTTTCTTTGATTGAAGGCTTACTTATCTGAATTGCTTTTTCATCGAGTTCTTGTCCTTGACATTATTGAAGACTTAAGAAGATCACTAATAGGAACAAGTACCTACTACCTTTAATATCTCGACTTTTTCATTAGTTGAATCAAGCTAAGATCTATACAAAAATAGATCTATAAGGAGCTTACAATCTAATATGCATCAAAGAAAGAGATGAATGAAAGATTGTATTTTGAATCAAATATTGATATTTTGAATATAATGTCTTGTCTTTTGAACTTACAAATGTACCAATAGCTTTTCAACATCTTATGAATGATGTTTTTAGAGATTTTTTGGATTATTTTATTGTTTGTTATCTAAACAACATCTTGATCTATTTTAAGAATACAAAAAAAATATAAACTTCACGTTTGTCGTGTGTTACAAAAATTAAGAGATGCGGGACTCTATGCCAAGATAAAAAAGTGTATATTCCACACTACTCAAGTTGACTTCTTAGATTACATCAATTCAAATGATAGACTTATAATGGATCTTAAGAAAGTTCTAACAATTATGGATTGAAAGATCCCAAAAATGGTCTGAGATGTCTAATGTTTTTTGGGATTTGGCAATTACTATCGGATCTTCATCAAAGACTTCTTTTAAATTATAACTCTACTTACACATTTGATTTGTAAATACAAACTTTGATGGAATCAAGAAGCAAAAGTAACATTTGAAGCTTTAAAGCTAACCTTTGTTTCTGTTCCAATCTTGTACTATGTTAACTTTTCTAAGTCATTCATATGAAAACAAATCCATCAGAGTTTGCTTTGCATGCCATATTATCACAAATAGAAATAGATAATAAATTTCATCTAATAGCTTTTCTTTCCAAAAAAATTTCAGCAACTGAGATTAATTATGAGATCTACGATAAAGAGCTTCTTGCAATTATGGATTCTTTTTAAGAATGGTGTCATTATCTAGAAGGCACTTCCAATTCAGTCACTATGTATACAGATCACAAGAATCTCGAGTATTTTATGTCATCTCATATTTTGAATTATTGCCAGACTCGTTGTCAAGATTTGAGTTCAATATCAGTTATTGGCCAGAAAAACAACAAGGTTTGTTTGATGACCTTTTCAGATGTTCTTATCTTGCATCTAAAGAAGAAGATGCACCTTTTGAGTAACAAAAGACAATCTTATTGAAGCCAAAATAATTTCATCTATGAGTAGTGAAATCAACATTGACTGTTGATTCAAATTTTCTCAAACAAATTCAATCAAGTATGTCCTCTCATCCTCTTGTTCATGATGTTAAGAAAACTTCTTTTAAGTCTCGTGATACTTCTAAGTTTGAGTTCAAGAACAACCTACTTTATTTTGAAGGATGCTTATATGTTCCAAAAAGAGAAGCACATTTACGTGTTCTTCAAGCACGTCACGACTTTCCAACAATATGACATTTTGGATATAATAAGACTCTGGAGCTAATATCTAGAGATGTTTAGTGCCCATAAATGTGAAAGGCTATAAATGACTTTGTTCAATCATATGACATTTATTCAAGGTCAAAAACTCCTCGGCATCGATCTTATGGACTTCTTCAACCATTACCTATTCTACAAAAATCATGGTCTTCTATTTGTATGGATTTTATCATGGATCTTCCAATCTCAAGATCGTGTAATTTTATATTTTTGATAGTAGATTACTTCATCAAAATGATACATTTTGTATCATGCACAAAATCTATTACAGGAAAAGAAACTATCAAGCTTTTTGTTGACAATATCTATCAATATCATAAATTACCAAAAGATATTATATTTGATAAGAGGACTCAATTTGTATTAAGATTTTGGAGAATCAACAACTAGCAGATTCAACTCAAGAGCTTTCATTTGTGGACTTACTAGATGAGACATTACAATTGTTACAACCTTCAAGACAACAAATTTAAGATGAAGATCTTCAAGAACGACATGTCCTTCCTCGAATAAACAACAAGATACAACATGTTTGGTATCACAACCTTCAAAGAGACTCTTGATATTTAGTGATTTTATTATAAGTAGGAATAACTCGTGACAATGTTTTAAATATTTTATTTGAAGGAAGTTACGAAGGCTTCAACAATGACCACATAATAGGGTGATCTTCTTGCCTTGGTATGGGACACTATTGATAGTTGAAATGGCCTATAAACTATCTTCAAAGAGAATAAAGATTAAAGTATGTGGCAAATACAATTCGTTGTATCTTGGATTTTCTCAACATATGAAGACTGCTCTTTATGGAACTCGTTCCTAAAAGGAGGGGTAATGTCATGGACATATACATGTAAACTAATAATTAATTATATGATTTAGATAATAGTAGGTAAAAATAGATTAATTCCATAATATCTTTTATAAAAGCTTTCTAAAAGCTTCATGGATGTTGCTTTGACTTTATAGGTGTCTTTAATTGACTTTTTAGGTTAGAAATATGGTCAATAAGTTGGCCATGTACCACACATGATGGTAGTTTGAAGAACAAGCTAACTATGTGGCCTACACGTAGAAAACTTGCCTTGTAAGCTAAGGCATGTATCTTACAAAGTCAATACATATTAGAGATCCTATAGAACAAATAAATAATTAAAAATTAAGTAAAATATATTTTACTTCAAAATTAATTTGCTTATAGATCATGGATTTGAGCCTCATCAAGGCTCACATGTAGTATATATGGGTGTCTTACAAAGGCCTTGAGGTTTTAGTCGTATCTTCTTACTTACATCCAAAGTACTACAATTATGAATTAAAATAAATCCTACTAGTTGGTAGGTAATTTTAAGTCACTAAAATTAAATTATTTAATCCATTTTATTGACATATCAAATAATATTTTTTTATTTTATTCTTAATTTAAGTGTATATGAAGTAATAAAATATTAAATTATTAGAATTATAATCAAATAAAATAAAAATAAGATTAGAATAAATATTTTTCAAACAAAAGTCTTATAAATATGTTTGGCTCTCATTATATTTGTCCAATTAATATATATATATATATATATATATATATATATATATATATATTATAATCTATGTTTATTAATAAGTCAATAAAAAAATTAAAATATTATATTTAAAAAATTACTTTATTTGAAGTCAAAATAGATACAACTAATATTTTCAATAGAATTATTCAAAAATTAAAGACTTATCTATATTGTATACTATTTTAAAATTTTTATACTTAATTATATTTCTAATTCACTAACATGTGTTTGATAAATATAATAACACTTCTATATTTATGTTTTAAAACAATATTTGATCCTATCTTCTATTATTGAGAAATTGTATATAACTATTTCTTTCTAAAATAATATTTATTAATATTTATTCTCAGGGATTACATTTATGAAAGGATGTATTTTTAAAAATTATTAAGAATATTAATTCAAATCCAACCATTTTCATTGAAATTAACCTCAAGTCAAATTTTCACTCAAACATGATTTATTTTAAAAATGGAGGAAAAAAGAATAAATAGTTTAAATATCCAAACATTGACATTTCTATTCATATTATAATAATTTGGAAAAGAAATATCAAAATACCTGTAGATTTTAATCTACCTTTCTATTAGATTATCAAGAAATATTATTATGAGTAATAGGAGGTGCTTCTTCTTGTTATGCATAAGTTACATGAGCATTGCTATTACATTGACATTAGTGTACGATGGTAATAAATGTTACATGTACAAATCATATGTTACTACATGTTGATCATATTTCATCTCAGTGACCATGTTACCAAACTGATCTGATTCCTTGCTCATAAGCTTTGTGGGTAGATAGAGGGAGACGTGCTGCAATATTCTCTGATCTGTCCTTGGAGCTTTTCAGTAAACCCCCAGCACGAAACATTCACAAGTAAATTAGATTAAAACAACAGAATTGCATCAACTTAGAAACCGGCGCCAGCACTCTGTTAAATATTCACTTCATCATCTTTACAGTAATATGGCGCCGCGCAACCTCGTGCTGAATCCAGAGCCAATGCTTGCGGTGTCTTATTTACTATACAAAACGCGAGGACTGCATAACATGGTAGATCGCAACGTCTGATCAGTTCTAATGATTGGGAGTTACGGGGTCCTTCAGGCCCTGGAAAGCGTTGGCCACGGCGTCCCCGGTCTGGTGAAGAACATTGCCAGCAGCATCCTTAGCTTGGGTGGCAGCACCCACAGTGGTGTCCTTGGCGCTCACGGCAGTATCCTTGGCATATCCCGCAGCGCCACCAGCCTTTTCCTGGGCAGTACCCGCAACGCCTGACGCCTTGTCCTTGGTTGCGCCTGCAGTGTCTGCTGCAGCATCTTTGCCTTGAGAGGTCTTGTCGCTCACGTAGCTGCCAGCCTCACTAGCCTTGCTTCCTGCAGCGTCTTTCGCTTCGCCAGCCTTGGACTTCGTGGCACCAGCGGTATCAGCAGTCTTGTCACCTACATGTTGAGCCGTATCCTTAGCAGCTCCAGTCGTGTCGCTTCCCTTGTCCTGAGCTGTTCCAGCGGCATCAGAGGCAGCAGACTTGACGTCGTGAGCTTTGGATCCTGCGTAATCTCCCGCCTGGCTAGCCTTGTCTTGAGCAGTTCCGGTAGCACTCTGTGAAATCAACGAATTCAACATCATTTGAGGTCTAGATGTGACAATAAGTCTCATCTCTCGTCTAATTTCCACTTCAAAATTTACTTATGCAGCAAATCTCATAAACTGATTCAATACGTACTCACTAAAGCTACACTTAAATAACAATCCTCTGAAGTATTCCAGCTCGATTGAATTCATGTCTCAATTTAATAGAACCGGTTTGAATTCAGAGTAACAAAAGACAGTGATCCCCAATCAGTATCCTGGGTGTGTACCTTCGTGGCACCGTGAGCTTGCTCAGCCTTGTCCTCACCGAATGCCTTCGTCTCCTCGGCCTTCTTTCCGGCCATCTCCTTGGTCTGATCGTAAGTCGACATGGTGATTAAGCTTGAGATTGAATATGAAATAGAATAGTAATCCAAAAAGAAAGAAATTCTCCGATCTATGCGCACAATATACACAAGATGTCAATGAAACGGTATTTAGTGGGAAGGCAGACTGAAAATCGAATGTGATTGTCTAAAAGCAATTCAAAAATCGCGGAGGATCGTCGACATTTTAAGAGCAATGGTGTTCAATGAAATTGCTGGTACAGCCTCAACGTGTCTGCCAATCCCGCCATGTCAGGGGGATGGACCAGCTGGCCTTGAGATCGGGAAATGCATGATCGCCACGCCACTTGGCTGGTCAGGGTGATCGTCTATATTTGCATGAGGCGATGCCGCTAGAACCTCACCCTGAGAAAGCGGCATTGATTATTTTAAACTAATTTACGACAAGTTTTTTATTTTGAAGAAATTCTCCGTTGCAGCAAGTACATTGCCCATGCAGCGAATCAAATTCTCCCAAAATTTCACTAATTGCATGGATTCCTTGATAGGTATCATAGTAGTTCACTAAGGAGACTTGTCCAGAACAAGAATCCTAGAAATGAGTAACATTTCCTAAAATTATTACACGATTCTTCCGGTACTCATTCTGCATACGGTGGCGAGAAATTGTAAGAGAATCTGCTAAGTCACATCCAGCTCAAGAAATTAGTACTTTTAATCGTATTATTTAATAGCTGCAGCAGATTGACTGCGAAAAAACCAGAGATATTCTTTCGTTGTGCTACTACGACATCGTAAAAACTTTCAAATCAGTTTGCTGGATTTGGAGCAATATTTTTACATTGTAAGAAAATCATATTTAAGGTGTATTCTTTTCGATGTCAAAGTATTGTCCAGATGAAATATAGCGAATAATGAAAAGGATGCCAAGTTATCACAATCATCCAAGTATGACCTCACATCTGGAGAGATTCGTAGGTTGGGCGTAGCAGCAATGTTGAAAATTAGAGCTCACATCTAAATTATTATTTCCTACAAAGTTTTAACTAACCAAAAATCTATGCAAAAAAAAATCCAAATCATAGTCAATCGAAGTGGAGATGAAACAAACAAGTGCTCCATTACCGCCGGTAGACATCGTACACGAGCCATTTCTAAACCATAAAATTTCCAACAAATCCTTTTCGATCAAACAATCAACATGTGAACACAGTACAGTTTTACAAAATCGATAGATTCGAGAAATCAATCAAAGTCTTACATAGTGATGTAGTAATCAAATGTGATTCTAGCCACTATCATATTCACAAGAATAATATTCTAACAATCCCACTCAACCCTACTGTTTGGGTGTAACGGTCTCCTTAGCACGGTTGAAGGCGTCGGACACATAGTTGCCAGTCTGCTGCAAAACGTTTCCAGCAGTGTCCTTGGCTTTTGTGGCAGCATCCACGGCAGTGTCTTTGGCACTCACAGCAGTGTCTTTCGCATAGTTTGTAGCTTCACTTGTTTTCTGTTGGACAGTGCCAGCTGCACCAGAAGCCTTGTCCTGGGTTGCGCCAGAGGTGTCGGCAGCTGCGCTCTTGGCCTGGTTGACCTTGTCACCTAAGTAGCTACCGGTCTCGCTTGCCTTAGCGCCTGCAGCGTCCTTAGCCTCATCAGCCTTGTCCTTAGCACTCCCAGCGGCGTCAGCGGTTTTGTCACCTACTTGCTGGGAAGTGTCCTTCGCGGCAGATTTCGCATCCTGGGCCTTGGAGCCTGCGTAGTCTACAGCTTGACTGGCCTTATCTTGAGCGGTTCCAGCAGCGCTCTAAAATCATCAACAAAAATTATTCAAAAATCTATCACACACATCCACCGGCTCCACAAGTATCGTGCTAGTCACCTGGCACTCTCCCTACCCACTATCCCACGACATCCACAGACTTGTTGGGACAGTCGTCACATTACAAATTCGAGTCGTGACCACGTACACATAGCATCTCACAACCCCTATCGAATTCACTCGAACCAGACACCTACCTTAGCGGCACCCTGAGCCTGTCCTGCCTTCTCCTCTCCAAATCCCTTGGTCTCCTGGGCCTTCTGTCCAGCCTGCTCCTTGGTCTGTTCATAGGTCGACATCTTGACAAAAAACTGGAATCGAAGACTGTCACCGGAGAGATAATTAGCGGAAACGTACAGCTGCAAGGAGAACTTACAGGTTAAAATGCACAAAATTGTCCGAGATTAATAGAAGCTGGATGATAAGACCAAGACCAGGTTAGTGCGTAGTCTAGGGACGCAGGTGGATTATATAATCAGGTGCACGAGGGTGTCATCTGCGGAGAGGCGCCACTTGGCAATCGATACGACGCGCCGTCAGAGCTGCAGGGAGGAAACTGACTGCATGCTCGCCACGAAACACGCCGAAGTTTCGTGAGGGTCTGAGGTCGCGCCACTGCCATGGTTGGGCTGGGAGTGAGAGGGAGATCATCGCATCGCAGTGTGTGGACTCCCCTCATCTCATCCATCCTCGGCGTTGCCATACACCATCGCTACTCCCGCCTCGATGGGTCTGAACACTACGCTGTTTTCCACTCCAGCTTCGACGTTGCGGTACTCGTGTCCATTCTGAGCATCCCTCCGTCGGCCGCGTGGTGCATTCGCATGTACTTCGTGGATCGACACTGAGTCATCGCGTGGACCACCACTATTGACTTATCTAACGTGGCAAGTGCGCATTGGCACTTGCTTTTTAGACAACTTTATTTTTTTATTTATTTATTAGTTTTATCTATTAAAGCCCCCCCACTTCCAAGTTCCGTGATAGATGTGGTGTATAGGCAGATATGTCAATGGCTTTTTTAATTTGTGGAATTGATACTAATTGTGTCCTTGATATGACAGCTCTAAACCTGGACTTGAATCTGGATGATTGATTAGCACCCTGATGCGGTATTTTTAGAGCCCCATGTCATCAAATCAATGACAAATACTTCAAGGTTTTGAAGCCCAAGGTGAAAAGTTGATTGTTCAATTGGGTAGCAAGGAACTTGAACTACAATCCATCACAATTTGGAAGCAAAAGGTGGCAACCACAAGCTGTTTATAGATTTATAGGTTTTGATATTGGTACAAATAGCTAAATAATCATTTAAGTCTCATTTTATCTTTATTTTATTAATTTGTTACTTGACAATTCATTGTTTTTTGTCTAAAGAATTAAAAATAGTATTTTGTTGAGCTTAAAAATAGTTTTTCTTTTCTAATTTATATACTATTTTAAAAATAACAATAATGAAAATACAATTAGTTTTTAGTTTTTTATTATCCACCAAAATGTTCTCTCTGTTTCAAATTTATTATTTCTTCTCTACAAACTTATTACTATCAATTTTGCATCAAATTACTAGATTGTTGCACAACACCTTATTTGTAGGTCTTTGCTACTATAAAATAAGCCAATAGAGGATTATTTCATTTGCTTTAAATGATTACTTCTGCAAATACTCTAAATAAACAATGCTACAGATGTAATAAGTCTGGCCATATTTGGCTTACATATTTCCAAAATATAAAAAATTCATACAACAGATTAAAAGAAAATCTCACACTTCTGATGGTTGATGTACTTTTATCCCTTTACCAACCTTTGTCTAATTTACACTTATAAAAATAAAATTCACTCTTTAATCCAAATATAAGGTGGCCTTATTTAAAATTTGTTTGTAACTGGAAGTGTGAGGTGAGAACCACATATACTAAGAAGAAAGAAAAATCAAGGAAGAACAAATAAAAGAAGAAAAACTAAAGAAACACACACTTTAAAATTATTCTCAACATGTTTATTAAACTTTATTTGGTAAATTATAAAAAATTAAATTAAATTAAATAATAAATTTATAAATTTTTTTTATCTTTTTAATTATTTTAAAATAAATATTTTTTATTTTATTTTTTAAAAAATAATAATTAAAAGATAAAAGATAAAAAATAAGATAATTAGAATTTATCTCAAAGGTTTCTTGATTAAGTGGTCAAAGGTTTGAGCCTTAATAAGACTCATAGGTAGTCTATGTAGTACCTTAGAAGATCCAAGAGGTCTTAGTTGTATCCTCTTCACTACCTCCTATAGGCTACAAATCATATGAATCATATGCACCTTACCTCCTCCCACTACTATTTTAGTTGTTATTTATTCTAGTTTCTATGAGTAAAATTATTTTTTTGCAAATTTACTTCATCATAATGTTCAAAAATACCAAATTAGTCTAGAAAATGTTTTTGGACCTATGAATCTTAATTTGATTCTTTGTAGTAGCCTCCCAAAGTGGTTAAATCATTTTTAGAAAAATCCATTAAATATGCTCTAAAACTTCTTAAAATTCCTTAAAAATACTAAAAAATTATCAATAAATTTTTAATTTTTTTTGGATATTTGAAAATATTTTTATTAAATTAAATCTAATTTTCTATACCTTGATAATTTATTTTTCAACAAAATTAGTTTAAATCATCTTAAAATATTATTTTTCATAAATCATTGTTAACTTGTAATATTAAATAAGCATGTTAACTACTTAGCTAAATAGGTTTTAGATTGGTCATGTTTGAATTAGACAAGAAGTATAGATATAATTAATTTATAGTAAGAATCAAACAAATTTATTGATTAATGCAACATACTTGAGAACAACATTGTCCAATAAAAGAGCAAGTACAAGATCAAATTTAATCTAGCAAGGACAAGATTAGACCTAAAAATAAGTTTAGATTTAGAATTTTTAAGTCAAAAATCAATGAGATCTTAAAAATTAGAAATAGACAACCACTTTAGGAGAAGAAGTTAAATGGTATATAAGCCACCTTAGGTACTACAAAATTCTTCTTATTGGTTTTTGATTAATCTTAATATTAAGTATTACTTACATTAAAAGCTAAATATTGCTTAAAAAAGTATAATTGGACTTAATAAAGTTCTTTCCAAGAAATAATAATCTTTATTGTCCTCTAACTTAGAATAATGATTTATTCTTGGATTTGAATTAATTTAGTTTTATTTTAGTAAGAAAAAATATTTTTTAAAGATATATTATTGATTGAAATTTGATCCATTGAGCATATATTTAAAATTAAGTCTTGTCATAACTTCTTCTTAAGAACAAGAATATAAAAAGAATAAAAATAAAAATTTTAGTGTATTTCAAAGAAATATAATAAAAAATAAATAAAGAAGTATTTATATTCTAGAAGAAATTAGAATGACTATTTCTAAAGGCAAGAAGGTTTTAGACTATTGCAATTAGACTAGAAGTAAGAAAGGAATTGACAAGAGCACGAAAGGCTTCACCCTTGTCTTTACTATGCTTAATAAAAATAATTGTTTAAAAGTCATCTAATAATTGTTTTAGTAAAAATATTCTATATGTTTCAAAGATAATATATTTAGAAATTAATAATCTTTGGTCACATGTTTTTACATATTCCTAAGGCAATAAATTTTGGAACTAATAATTATTAAAAATTCATAATTTTTTTTAATATTTTTTTTCTTATTTATTATCATTTATGAATATTTAATGAATAACATAAATAATAAAATATTATTTTAAATATTGGTTTCAATATGAATAAATAAAAATAAATATTAACTCAATCAAGATAATTTCTTTTAAGACTTATTAAGGTATTATTTTTATGATTCTTGACTTAATAAAATTCTTAAAACTTATAAGCCTTCCTAAAAATCTAATCATTACTTACATAATCAACTAGGTAGGGATATTTTGAATACAACATCATGCCTTTTGGACTTACAAATGCACCAACAGCTTTTCAACATCTAATGAATAATGTTTTTTGAGAGTTTTAGGATGATTTTGTGGTCTGTTATCTAGACGACATCTTGAACTATTCTAAGAATCTAGAAGAACATGAATTTCATGTTCATCATGTGTTACAAAAATTAAGATATGTAGGACTCTATGCCAAGATAGAAAAGTGTGTATTCTACACTACTCAAGTTGATTTTTTAGGTTACATCATTTCAAATGATGGACTTATGATGGATCCTAAGAAAGTTCAAACTATTATAGATTGGAAGATTCCAAAAATGGTAAGAAATGTCCAATGCTTTTTAGAATTTGCCAACTATTATCGGATCTTCATCAAAAACTTCTCTCAAGTTGCAGCTCCACTTATACATTTGACTTGTAAAGACAAACTCCAATGGAATCAAGAAGCGGAAGTTGCTTTTGAATCTTTGAAGACAGCATTTGTTTCTGCACCAATCTTGTATCGTGTTGATTTTTCCAAAGCATTCTTTATGGAAACACATGCATCAGACTTTGCTCTGGGTGTGATTTTATCTTAAATGGGAACAGATAACAAACTTCATCTAGTAGCCTTTCATTCAAGAAAATTCTCAGCAGTTGAAATCAATTATGAAATCCATGACAAAGAACTTCTTGCAATTGTGGATTCTTTTCAAGAATGGCATCATTATCTAGAAGGCGCTTTTAGTCTAGTCATCGTGTATATGGATCATAAGAACCTTGAATATTTCATGTCAGCATGCATATTAAATCGTCGTCAAGCTCGTTGGAGCATGTCTTTATCAAGATTCGAGTTCATCATCACTTATCGGCCAGGAAAATAACAAGGTTTATTCAATGCCTTGTCTAGACATTCTTATCTTGGACCAAAAGAAAGAGATGGAGTTTTTGAGCAACAAAGAATGGTTCTCTTGAAGCTAGAGCAATTTGATCTTCAAACAATAAAATCAACATTGATTGTTAATTTAACTTTTCTTAAGCAAGTCCAGTTAAGTATGTCTTCAGATCCTCTTGTTCATGATATCAAGAATAATTCTTTTAAATCTCATGATTCTTCTAAATTTGAATTCAAGAACAACCTACTCTATTTCGAAGGACGCTTATATGTTCCAGAAGGAGAAGCACGTTTACATATTCTTCAAGCTTGTCACGACTTCCCAACAGCAGCACATTTTGGATATAATAAGAATTTGGAGCTGATATCTAGGGATTTTTGATGGCCTCAAATGTGGAAGGCAGTCATAGATTTTGTACAATCATGTGATATTTGCTCAAGATCAAAAACTCCTCGTCATCGACTTTTTGGACTTCTTCAGCCATTACCCGTTCTAGAACAATCATGGTCTCTTGTTTCTATGGACTTCATCATGGATCTTCCAATCTCAGGTTCTTATGACTTTATATTCATGATAGTAGATTGTTTTACCAAGATGGCACATTTTGTACTGTGTACAAAATCTATTACAGGTGAAG